GTATAAACAATCCTGATGATCCAATTTTGAGCAACATCTATAGAAAATAGATGGTCAAAGACATGACTACATTGAGCCCAAATTATTTCAAGTAATTGTTTGATTTCTTAAAACCAAATCAACATAGTGAATTTATCTATAATACCACAGTAGAGCATATGCTGATTTCTAAATAATTAGAAACTAATATTGAAAACTTTATGAGAAGTGCCAATGATTTTTAGTGAGCATCACTCTTTAGAATTAAGAATATGAATCCTGGAATTTTCCTTACGTAGTACAGAAAGTACGGAAACAAATATAAAATTTAAAATACTTCCATACATTAAATTCTGTATTTGTGTTTCATTGGTCAGAGACTATAAATGCATTCAATTATTTCCCTACATGGTAAATGTTGTGAATTTCTTTTTAAACAATTCAAAAATTTTTAATTACAAAATAAATGATGTTTAAACCTATACTAAAACTATTTCTCTATTTTAAAAATGGTTCAACAGCTTATGGTTTTTCAGTCATACTTTTAATGACTATCTTATACATATTCAGTTAACAAGTCAACATACCAACTCAGAAATAAATCCAGCAGCGCCAAAGCAGGGGGTGGAGTACAGAAATAACCTTAACAAAGGAATGCAAGAACCATCAAGTAAACATCAACTTTGTCCTGAGAAAGAAGAAGAAGTGAGAAGGAAACTCAGCATACCACCACCATCACCACCACCCTGTTTGTTATAAGAGGGGGCAGAGGGAAACTATCAGGCCTTCAAAATTCTGTTATTACATCCAGCAACAATAGAATTCCAAGAATCTTTCTAGAGTGTTTCTTGACCTGGCCTGCTTGGAAGGGCTGACATCAATCCTGAAAAATCTCCCTACTCTCTACCCAGAGAGGCATCTTTGATCATGGAAATGGCATCAGATCCTTGGGGTGCCCACTGTCTGAAGAACAACTTGCTGAAGCATTGCTACAACATCAACAGCAAGCATATATACAAATAACAAATCTGTACAATGCCATGGAAAAACTAACACAGCATTTGGTCCAAGGAACAACTCTATTTCTCTGCTGTCATGGACATTTGCTAGAGAAATTTAGGAGAGCCCAGGACCAATTTCTGACTTTTACAACTCTACAATATAGAGTTCCAGCAGTCCTCGCAGGGTCTGTTCCTGACCTGAAGGGCTGTGTGTGTGTGTGTGTGTGTGTGTGTTGTGTTCAAAAAATGGCAAAAATCAGCAAAATGGCAGGCATTGCATGGTGATCAAAACCTTGCCTCCTTTGTATGCACAGTGGTGTCACACTTTGATCATGATGCTGCCTCCACAACCTTGTACAAATGCCCACAAATAAACCTTTATTTTGATAAAGACTGTAAAAAATTAAAGAGAAAAGGTCAGTAATATGAGAAATATAGAGTTCCTGATGCTAAGGAATTATCCTATATCCATGTGGAACTGAAAAAGAGCTATTAGTAGAGAAGCAGAAAGAAATTGGTGGAGATTTTGGAATATGATTTACAAAATGATTGCACATTATTTTGACAGTTGTTATATACTTGCAGTTGCTTGGTTTTTTTTTTATTTCAACTTTCAGTAGAAGGCTATCAAGGATGGGAGCCAATATCAAGACCAAGCACAATTAAATCTTGGGAAAACTCCAGATTTTAGAGTTATTCTTTCTGAGTTAATTAAGTCTGATGCCAATGATTACTACTGCATGCTTCACTTTTCACTCTATTGACAAATCAAAGCAACTCTCTTTTCTAAGGCCAAATGATATAGGAAGCCAAGCTTCAAATAAGGTAAGGCATTCTGCGTGACACGTTTTTGTCTGAAGCTCCAGATTAGCATGACAGGCCTTTAATATCCAGACTCTGTGTGTCATGAGAATGCAGCTGTAGAGCAGGACAGGGATGTATTGAAATAAGAGAGGTATTAAACAATGCTCATCAATTTTTCTTGCCTCCAAAAAGTTCTGATTATCTTTTGGTTTCTTTATTATTGGCAGGAACCAATAAGGTGACCATTTGAACTCCAAACGTAAGTTTTATGCTGCTGCAAATTAGAAAAAGATAAGAGGTATTAAAGGAAGCTGAGTTGTTTAGAATCCAATTTTATTATTTAAAGAAGACATATTCATGAATATGTCTTGGTTGGTCAGCAAAATCTTAATGTATCCCTGGAAAGTATTTTAGAATTGCAATTTTTGCCTCAACCTTATTCACCACAAGCCCCTCCACACAGCCCTGTCTCCACTCTCAACCATTTTGAATTGGGCAGTACACTGACCTTCACTCTGTCTCACGCCCATGGAATGCTGGGAAGGGGTAGGAAGCCAAGCCCCTCCCCCCATCCCACCCTGGAGACTGCAAACATGGTAATTGCAGAAGTCCTTGCCTCCTCAGCTAATGCAATGCCTTAAGCCAACAAAATCCCTCCACTCAGCTATACACAAAAAGGGGGGGGGGGAGTGTCCATTGTTAGCCATCTTGCCACTGGCCATTTCCTGAAAGTATTGGACCAGTGGTATGAGAGGAAATCTGCTTAGCTATCAAAATATTATTCTTTCCGCATGCAAAGTCCTTGGAAACTGGGATAACCTAACAGTAGTTTTGCACCCAGGCACTTTTCCCAACAGCTGCATCTATGGAGGTCAGTTGCAGTGCAGAGTTTCTGTGTTTCAGTGGGGAGAGTGAGAAATGCCTGGCTTGAGCCTAGAGACTAGGAGGTGGAATGGGGCACTGAGGCTGAAGTTAGAATTCAGGGTCGGTTGCTTACAGAAACAGGAAAATCAAACCTGTTTTATTTTTAGGAATGGTGAATCTGACCAGAAAGTGGCCAGAAGCGTTAAGATTGGGCTTGTTGCTAAAACCGCCTGTGAAATTTTTAGAGATCTCTAAATTTAGGAAGCAGGGCAAGGCGAGCATTCCTGCAGATGGTAAAATGGCCCTCCTGCAAATCCCATGGAGCTCTGATCTCCTTCCAGGGCTAAAGCTGGAAGAGAATGGACCTGCCTGCCCAAGGACATTGGGGGAGCACCGCACAGCTGATGCTGGACTGGGGCACAAGCCACAAGTAGCAGGGGTGTACAATTTCCTTTTTGCTGACTGATAGGGAAGAAATGGGAGGAACAGGATGGGACTAGAAATTGACTGTAGTTGATTAAACAATTACATTTGCACTAAACCTATATACAATCATTCTGAAGCAAAGCAACAATTTTTTCAGCTGAAAGTTATGTCTATGTGGCAGAGCAGGCATTGACTGGGGCTAAGTCATAATGCAATTTGTTCCATACTGCCTTAGAGTGAACCTAGGCATTTTAGTTTCTAAGCCATGTATTGTGATTTATTGAGTAAACCCAGCCAACTGTAGTTTATTCAATAAACCAAGATTAAATAATCTATAGGTTAACATTCATATGAACAAAACCAGTGGTTTAGAAGGACCCATTTTCCAGTCAAGCAAGTTAAGCGTCAATATAATGTTTGGCATAAGCATCTTAATATTTATTATTAATACATTTGTAATCTATTTTGGCCTATAAATCAATTTAGCAGAATTTACTTTTGAGTAGACATACATTGCCTACAGCAGGTGGCAGCACCTTACTAATCTTGAACAACCTAAGCAGAAACAAACCTCACTGGCCTTTGGATAGGAAGCCACCTGGAAATCCCAGGGTATAGATTAGACTGGGGAGCTGAAAATCCATTCTGGAAGGAAGTCATGGCAAGCTATCCTCTTGTTAAGAAAACTACAAGGGAGACATTAATTTAGGCATGGATAAGATCACACAAATGGTGGCTCAGGCCTTTGAGTCTCAGTTGTGTCTCAGTTCTCAGCAACCAAACATGTTCAGTAGTAAAAAGGAAGGCCTTCTGATTACATGGAAAATGCCCTTCCTTGAGTTTTTCTTAGCCACACCACTGCCTGAGTGCCCACTCACAAACACGGAAACCTATTTGAAATTTGGGAGAGTAAGATCGAGTTTAACTGAAGAGTGAGATTTCCTATAGTGTACTTGGATTAGAGACCTTGGTTTATTTCAAGTTTAAAGACTAAGGCTGTTTCCTCACAATATGCTTAACCTTGGATTAACTATTATTTCACCAAATTAACCCAATTATAGTACCTGCATTTGGCTATACTAAAACATAAGCTAATGGCAGCTGCTCTGTTCACGTGACATAAAGGTAAAATTTCCTTCAAGCTGAAGGCAACTATTGGTGACTATGAAATACATTCCTCTATTTTTCTTGGTGACAATAAGGGAATAATTTTATTTTGCCACCTTCTGGGATATATATTATCGATACACATAAAAACTGCCCAGCTCAGCCTACGGCTTTGCGAATTCCTGGGGTCTCCCATCTCAGTATAAACTGGATCCAATCCCGCTAAAACGTTTGAGATCAGCCAAGGGTAGCACAACGTACTGAACCACAAATCAGCCAATCACGTTAGCCCAGTGTGTTTTGAGAGCCCATCTGCTGGCAAGCCTTCATTAGACTATTTTACACCGCACACACGCTCTGAGAGTCTTACTTTATTCGGTTTCGCTTCCGTGTTACAGTTATGTTGAGGCAGGCAGCGCTGGAAATACAGAATGCCCAACCAGCAGAGTTTCTCAGCAAGAAAAATGGAGAGGTGAAAGCCCCCTCCCCCGAAAGTTTATGCAGTTGCGACCGCCGACCCGGGGTCACAGCAGGGCCCGTCCTTCTCGCTCCCGTCCCGGAGCGGGGTCTACCCAGGCGCCCAGCGCCGCCGGCGGGGAAGAGCCGCCCCAGCTTCGGAGCAAAGAGGCTGCGGGCGTGTTCGGGGACTTGTCCTGTAATCGATTGCCGAGTCAGCTGAGCAGCGCTGCCAAGCCAGACAGCGCGCTTCCCCGATCGCTCTCTCCAGCTCAGGGTGTCTGGGTGAGACGTCTGTGATGCCTGTGTGTGTGTGTGAGCGAGCGAGCGAGCGTGTGAGTTGCCGGATCGGTTTCTCGGGGTTTGACCAGTTGTCCCAGGCTAACCCTGCTCTCTGAAGATGGAGGAAGTAAAAAACAGGATTACCCTTAGCTACAGATCCACTGCCTTAGTTTCCATAACCAACTGCGGGGCACAAACACACGATCGCTAAGCCTAGGAAAGAAACCAAGAAAGGAAAAGACTCATTAACAAAACAAACAAACCGGGGGGATGATGGAATTGTTTCCCTACACGCACTGCTGAGGTAAATCTTTGTTGGGCTATTTCTTCGGCTGGCGGCGGGTGGAAACAAGAACATTTATCTCTGGAAAGGCTGCCTGGCGGGCTCTGTCTTCTGCGTCGCTGGGGTGCTTTGGTGGATAGGGGTGTGTTGGTGTGTGTGTGTGGTTGCGAAGGGGCAGGGAGGCGGAGAAGGTCTGTCACGGAGTTCCGCGTAATTATGGAGCATCTCTTACCCCGGGGTCAACAGGACTTGTTGCTGTTTAATCCCAAAATAAATCTTTAGAATTACGTGAGGATGCGAAAAGGGTAGATTTGCATTTCTGTTTGGAAAACCATCATTTAATGTTGGCCGACCGACCCAAGTGAATGTGGATTAAAGGATGCTTTAAGAAACAGAATTCTGATTTCTAAGAGGTTGATCGATTAATTCGTCCCCAGTTTTGATACGATTCGCTTTTGTTTTCCCAACTGAGCTGGGCTTGTCAGTTGCAGTTAGAAGCAGCCTCCTATCCAAGATGCACGCGGATCCTCCGATAAAATCTCCCCGAACGATACACACAAGATTTCATGGCAGACCACGCGTTCTGTTTAAAAATGCAGGGCTTAAATTAATTGACAGGGCGCGGAAAGAAACATAGACACCGGTAAAATTAGGAGATCTTTTTATTTTGCCTGGGGCCAAAAATAATGATTGGCCTGAGTTTCTGGATTCTTTTTCTTCTTAAACTCCCTGATCTACTCCTCCCAGCCCCCCCCTTCTTCTTCTTCTTTTCTTTCCTCCAAGATTTTCCCCCCTTCCCTCTCGGTTCTTAAGGAACCGGTGGATCAAGTTTTCTCTCGTCTGGTTAATCGCACTGCTGTAGCTTTGGCTGACCTCTCTCTCCCTTTTTTTGTTCTTCATCTTTCCTGAAAGTACGTGCCATTCCCAACAAGCCCATCCTGAAAGGGGGGGGGGGGGGAGGCAGCGCTTTTTTCTTTTTTTTTTTTTTTTTTTT